AAAAAAAAAAAAAAAGGACTTTTACTACTCTTTCATTCGATATATTCAATCCCTCATACCTGGACACTTTGACAACATCAGAGAAACCTGAATGTTAGAAAATTTCAATGGAAATTTAACAAACTGTAGAGGAAGAAAGAAGCTAAGACTTACTTATTTTTATAGACAACTACACACTCTTGAAATGTAGCATACTGTCACATTCCATAGTAAGCCACACAATCTCAAAGTGTACCCTAGTTCCAACCTCTTCAAGCTTTTTAAGAATAAAGCAATAATAAAGACCTTTAACAATCTCAAAATTCACTTCTAGGTATCAATGTGAGTGTATTAAAATTTTCACAAATCTAAATAATTAAATAAGTATATGTTAATACTTATTTATCTATGGTGATGTGTTATGGGGATAAGTCAAACAACTATGAATGAGTTAGTGTTTTAGGCACAGAAAATACCCTATATAATTGTGAGAGTAAAAAAAAAATTCTATGATAAAACATCAAAATATCTCATCTTCACCTGTTTCTCATATTGACAACATCATCTTCACAGAGAAAGAAGTTGGCTCCTAGATCCCATGCTTGGCATTTTTCTGTATCATGAATGGTAAGTGCCTTCAAAAAAGAGAATAATCTCAAAGTCAGGGATAAGACAAGGATGCTCACTATCTCCAATTTCATTTACATTGTATCAGAAGTATTATCCAATGTAATTAGACATAGAGAGGAATAGGAAGCTTAAGAATTAGAAAGGATCTAAAGCTGGATTCATTCACAGATGATATGACCATATACATCTGGAAACCCAGGAAAATTAATGGAAAAACTACTTTAAACCATATGAGAATTTCAATTTAGGAAAGTAGCATGTTGTATTAAAATACAATCAAAAGAATTCACATAAACATTTCCAAATGCTCCATGTTCTAAGTAAAAAAAGATAACAACATTTGGAAAGAATATTTTCAACTTATATCAGAGGACATATCTTACAGAAAAAGGGGCAAAGTATATGAACATGGAGAATACTGAAAAAGAAATGCATATGGCCCTTTAAAATATTTAGGAATGTTCAACTCTACTCAAGAATGAAATATGTTTTCTCATTTATTAGAACGGCATCAATCCAAAAGTTTGACAATATACTGTACTGGAGAGTGACATGAATCAGGCATTCTTCTATGTTATTGGTGAGAATGTAAAATAGCATAACCTCAATGGAAAAGAACTTGGTAATCTCTAGTGAAATAACATGTGCTTCTATCCTTTGACATAACAATTCTGCTTTTAAGAATCTATCATAAAGGCACACTGGGAAAGATTAAAAATGATATACGTACAAGAGTATTAACTGCAGCACTACTTGTAATAGAAAAAGACTGAAAATAATTAAAATGTCTACAAGTAAGGAATTGGGTATAATAATATACGTCCATGCAATGTATACCTGTACAGCTATAAAAAAATGAAACATATACATTTATCATTAAGGAATAATCATTAAGGAATATCATTAAGGATATGCTGTTAAGTGATAAAGAGCAAGGTGAAAGAAAGTATGGCACTTTATTAAGAGAGGCAGGTGAGAGTAAATTTGTATACACACATATATACAGATTTGCATATTTGTATGCATGTATTTGCTTGTATTTCAAAACACAAAAAAAAGGGGATGACCTAATAAGGGAAGGAGGGAATAGGGTAAAGAGAAGGTAGCCTTACCTGAATAAAGCTTGTTTTATAAATTCTACTTTTTAAAAAAATGTTTATTTTTTGGGAGAGAGAGGCAGAGTGCAAGTGGGGTAGGGGCAGAGAGAGAGGGAGATACAGAATCTGAAGTAGGCTCCAGGCTCTGAGCTGTCAGAACATAGCCCGACGTGGGGCTCGAACCCATGAACCACAAGATCATGACCTGAGCCGAAGTTAGACATTCAACCGACTAAGCCACCCAGGTGCCCCCATAAATTCTGCTTTGAATTATGTAAGTCTCATAATAGTAAAATTTAATTAAATTTAAACGTGATCCCCAGAAATCCAGAGCAAAATGAATGGAGAAAACTATCTACTGAATATGTTGCATAACTACCCAAAGGAATTATTTAAAGTGACTTTAAAAAGTAGTTAATTTGCCTGCCAAATCTAGACAGGATATATCCTAAGGATGAAAAAGAAAATTAGGGGTATCTGGGTAGCTCAGTGGGTTGAGCATCTGACTTTGGCTCAGGCCATGATCTCGTGGTTCATGAGTTTGAGCCCTGTAGTGGGTCTGCTGCTATCAGCCTGTCAGCCCAGAGTCCTCTTGGGATCTTCTGTACTCCTCTCTCTCTGACCCTCCCCTGCTCATGCTCTCTCTCTCTCTCAAAAAATAAATATAATTTTAAAAATAAAATAAAGTGGGGCACCTGGATGACTCAGTCGGTTGAGCATCCGACTTTGGCTCAGGTCATGATCTCACAGTTCGTGAGTTTAAGCCCCACATTGGGCTCACTGCTGTTAGCCTGTCAGCACAGATCCCGCTTCAGATCCTCTGTCCCCTTCTCTCTGCCCCTCCTCTGCTTGTGCTCTCCCAAAAGATAAGTATTAAAAAAAATAATAAATCATAAATGGTTTTCAATAATTATATTGCTATTAATAATATTAGAATTGTTATGCTGAATCTATATCATAAATAGGTGTAACATAGGATAAAGCAAGTATGTAATTAGGTTCATGTCATTAAGACTCAAACCCTTACAGTGAGAGATAAAGATACAAAATCATAAAATCAAAGAAGTAGATATGCCGTGGTCCTAAACTTGAAACTCAGATATTTCAGTGTTCACTCAGGATGAATGTTCTAGATCTGTCCACTGAAAAGACTTCATCATTAGTGACAAAGACCACTGGAGTTAGATCAAAAGGACTCAAGAAGTTGAAGAAGATCCTAACAAGCAAAGATGGAACAATTTAAGCATAAATGAGAATAACAACTACACTAGATCAAAACAAATCATGTATGTTTAAATTCATGAGTTTATTATGACGTTCAGATACAAACAGGCCACACAAGTTCACTAGTCACTGTTAGCGGATGATAGGAAACCACTGATTTTGAAAACTGGTAAATAAAGGCTGAAAAAAAAACCAACAAGTATTTATCTTGCCTTTTGTACAAGTGCAAACTATACTTTACTGAAACCAAATATGTGAATGGAGAATTGTCTTTCTAAATTATTCCAGCTAATAAATCAAAAAGGACAGAATTAGAATATCATTATCCCTAATAAAATAATGAATCTAGGCAATGATCATTATTATCAGTAATAATCAAAACAAGGACAACAGATTATGATTTCCTCTTGATGAGAAAAATATAAAATCATCTGTGAAACAGTAGTGCCAAAACAATCAAATCTGAATCTGAATCTCTGGATTCAGTTTACAGGAAATCTCTGTACCAGTTTATATGAAATACAAGGGTAGAGGTACATGTAATAAATGACCTGTTGTTAGTTACAAGTGCATTGTAAGGGTAAATAAATATCAGGGAAGGGAACTATATAGATTAAAACAAATCAAATTCAGTATATGGACTTTACTTGGATCCTAATGAGAACAAACCAAAAAAAATTTTCGTAAGACATTTGGGAAAATTTGAACTCTAATTAGATATTTGATGACTGATATAGATAGGCTTGTAAGATGGCCCTAATGATTCCCAGTTCCTGGTACTCAGGCCTTTGCATAATTCCTTTTGCATACATTTGTAAACTAGTGAAACTATTTGCTTTTAGCAAATAAGCATAGATAATGAAATGTCACTTCTGAGATTAGGTTGCAAAAGACTGGTTTGTTTTGCTAGTACACTTCCTTTCTAGTCATCTTGTTTAGCTTACTCTGATGAAGCAAACGGCCATATTGTGAGCTGCCTAATGGAGAGGATCACATGTCAAGGAACTGAGGGTGATCTCCAACCAAGAGCCAGCAGGGAACTGAGATGGGAACGTGAAGTGGAATGACCTGGCCACTGAATCCTATCAATCATCATGTGAGCAAGCTTGGGAAGCAGATTATTCCCCTATTCTGGAGATGACTGCAGCCCTGCCAATGTCATGATTAGAGGCTCATGAAAGACCCTCAAACAGAGGAACCAGCTAAGTTGCACGCAATTCTTGACCTTGAGATAAGTGTTGTTAAGTTGCCAAGTTTTGGGGTAATTTGTTTTCAGCAATAGATTGTCTTAGTTAAGACAATGATATTAACAAAACGGTTACATTTTTAGGTGCAAAAATGGCTTTGTGGTTATGCTTTCAAAAGGTACCCTTATCTTTTAGAATTATATACTAAAATACTTAAGAATGATATAATAGGATGTCTGAGTATTATATCAAAATAATTTGGTGGCTGGGGAGCCATGAGGAATGGGAAGGAGATACATGGAACAAATCTGTCTACGAGCATGCAGTTGCAGCTGCATGATGTGTACATGGGGTTTTGTTAAAACTACGCTATTTTGGGGATGCCGGGGTGGCTCAGTCTGTTAAGCGTCCAACTCTTGATTTCATCTCGGGTCATGATCTCACCATTTGTGAATTCAAGCCCTGTGTCAGGCTCTGCGCTGATAGTGCAGAACCTGCTTGGGATTCTCTCTCTCCCACTCTCTCTGCCCTTCCCCGGCTCCTGCTCTCTCAAAAAATAAACTTAAAAAAAAATTCCATTTTCATAAAATTTTGGAATTTTCTAGAATATTTTTTTTTTTTAAAGAAAAAAATACAGCACTAAAACAATTTTGCTGCTGGGGCACCTGGGTGGCTCAGTCAGTTAAATGACCTATTCTTGGTTTCAGCTCAGGTCATGATCTTACGATTTGTGGGATTGAGCCCCATGTCAGGCTCTGTGCTGACAGTGTGGAGCCTGCTTTGGATTCTCTCTCCCTCCCTCTCTGCTGGTTGCTCACTCTCTCTCAAAATAAATAAACAAAAAAAAAGTTTTGCCACTAAATGAAGATGCAAAAACTAAGCCAAAATGTAATATTACCACTACTGAGGATGGAAAAAAAAAAATCACAACAATTATTCTAACCAAGGACATTTACTCACTTACCTTAACTCCTGCAAGAACAAGATTCTTTGCTATAAAGGGGGAAAAAAAAAAGAATAGCTTAATATTAGGAACGTATTTTAGATACTCTTCATGGAGCCTGGACACATCTTTAACTGGAGAATTTAACTTTTTTTTTTTTTTACTACCAAAGAAGTATAAGTTCCTTAAAAAATACAGAAGAACAAAAAGGAAAAAATTAAATTTTCTAAAACCATACCACACAGAAGTAATCACTCTTAAAATTTTATAGTATTATTCTAGACATGTTGTTACAAATATATGCGTGTATGCACTCTATCATAAGTAAGGATACAGAAATGATCATTAACTGCTATTAACATCACAAAGAGAAACGAGAGTCATTATTGGTTCCTTTTGGAAGAATATAGCAGTATTATGAAACAATGTTGCTGAAAGAACCAAAACAATCTTTTCAAGGTGTTGGATCGAATTCCCTTTATAGGAAATAGTACAAGGGGAAGAAATTAAATTCTTTAACTTATGTTGCTCAAAGTGTAATATAAAATTATGAATAAAAATACTACTTACCAATTTCCAAACCAAGACCACCCATACCACTTAAGAAAACATGGGACTTGGCCATCTTCTGCATTGCTGTGTCTCCAAGAACGTACCTCTGTCGACTATAGGTAAAACAATAAAAACCAATACATTATTTCACCAAAAGTATCTATCCTTTAAAGTTGTTTGCAAACTAATAGCCTAACAACTAGATCCTGCCCACATACTTGTTTTGGATCACTTGCAGTGTTCAACATTTCTAAATTAATTGCCAAATAGATGACATATTGAGAAAAAAAATGAGTATTTGGCACCACCTTCCCTTGTGGCAACAAACAGATGGAGTTGAGTAGGAGTTGCTCTGTTTAGACAAGGAGGACTCTGTGCTCCAGATTTGCCACAGTTCCCATCCTGGTCCTTTCATTTATTACCTCAGGGGGCACTATAGGCATTTAAGTTTGGTATCGCTGCTTTAAACTTGTCACTGTAAACAGAATTTGAGACAAAAAAAAAAAAAAAAAAATCACTGCTCTTCTTGGAGAGGACTTAAGCAGTTTTCAAACATTATTTTATTTTATTTATTTCCTTTTTTAAGTAATATGTATGTCCATTGTAGGGCTCGAACTCCTGACCCCGAGATCAAGAGTCACATGCTTTATAAACTAAGCCAGCCAGGTGCCCTGGAACATTATTTTAAGTATAAATACTGATAAAGCATGTAAGTGATCTTGTTAAGCCATCCATCCTAATAGCCACAGGCAGCATTACGATGGGAATTTCAAAAAATACACACTGGCTATTTTTAAAAATCAGATACAATAATAAAGCCAAAAAAGAAAGTTTATCTGAAAGAACAGTGATAAACTTGATGATTAAGTTATTGAAGATAATGGACATTCTAGTGGATTCTGACAAAAATCACTGGAAGGATGAGTTCAGTATAAATAAATGAACCCTTTGGTTTACAAATATTTCTTTTGGAATTCACAACATAAACGCTGGTTTAATATATGTTTGTTTAGTATACAGATGTTTGATTAATTTTCATATTTTAGCTATTTATATTCAATATACAAGTCTGAAAAGGGGTTTCTTGTCTAGTCAGAAGACACTTTATAAACACAAGCTGTCATTTCCTTCCATATTCCTACAAAATATAATAAAACCTAGACTTTTCTTTTTAAATTAGTACTTACCATTTATTTCAGAGATCAAAACTATTATTAATATTATTATTCATCAAATATTTGCTGAACACCTACTATAGTATGTATGGAATAGTGTATTATATAGTCTTGCCAACCTTATTTGTGTTCCCCTAAACAATATACTTAAGTTTTGTCTGTTTTGGAAATTCACATAAAAGGGAGCATTTTGAATAGTGTCTTCTGTGTCATCCCTCTTTTGAATGAAATTGAATTTATGAGATTTATTTATTATCAATGCATGTAGCTATTAATTTTCAGTTGTTTTAGTCTATTGTATTATACTATCCTACTGTAATAACACACCATAATTTAACCATTCTATAGCTTTGTAGCATGATTTTTTATTTATTTATTTTTTTAGTAATCTCTACACCTAACATGGGGCTCAAACTCACAACCCCAAGATCAAGAGTTGCATGCTCTTCCACCTGAGCCACCTACGCACCCCTGCTATTCTATACTTTTGGACAGTTATAGTGAGCTATGAACATTACTTTTTTTTTTTAATGTTTATTTATTTTTGAGAGACAGAAAGAGAGAGAGCAAGCAGGGAAAGGGCAGAGAGAATCGTGAGATCATGACCTGAGCCAAAGTTAGACGCTTAACCGACTGAGCCACCCAGGTGCCCGAGACTATAAACATTCTTACATACGTCTCATGAAACACGAGCGTATACAGCAGTTTCTATAAATATATATAGCATAAATCTAGGAGAGGAAATGCAGGGATAACTTTACTATCTAATGCCAAACTTTTCCCAAAGTGTACCAAATAACTGTCCTGCAGTATACTGAAGTTCTTGTAGTTTCACATCCTTAATGTGCAGGAAAAAGTTAACATGACTAGGGCTAGCCCTTGGCTGGTGTCTTCTATTTTGTTTTTTCCTAATTTCCTAAAAATAATAACTCATCAGTTTTCAGGTTTTCTTTTCTAAAATATACATGTAAAACTTTAACTGATCTTAAAGAGCATTCCAAATTTTGATACATAGTAATTTATGATTATTTTCTGGTTTTAATTATGATTCTTTTTTGATTTACAAGTTAATCTGAAGTATATTTTAAAATTTCTAATTACATGGGGAATATTCTATTTATCTCTTATGTTAACTTCTAGCCTGAATGCATTGTGAATAGAAATCACAATCTATATGATTTCATTTTTTTAATATTTGAGAATTTTTTTAGTCAATTTTGCAAATGTTCCATGTGTTCTTTTTTTATTTAGTTAGTTAACATAGAGTGCAACATTGGTTTCAGGAGTAGAATTCAGTGATTTATCACTTACATACAACACCCAAGTGATCATCACAAGTGCTGTCCTTAATACCCATCACCCATCCACCACCCTTCATCAACCCTCAGTTTGTTCTCTATTGTTGACTCTCTTGTGGTTCGTTTCCCTCTACAGTTGGAAAATGACATTGGTTGTTGTTTTACAGTTGGTTAGAAACAGCATTCTTTACACGTGCATTATAGTAATTTTAATAACCATGTTGAAGACCTCTATCCTCATTCTGATTTTTTTGTCTGCTCGTTCTCTTGATTAGTAAAAGCAACATTTAAATCCCTCCACCAATATGACAGTAAATTTGTCTATTCTTGTATATCAATACCTAAACAGTGCTGACATGTAGGAAAAACTGCTAACATTGAGTGTTTATTATGCGCCACATTGTTTTAATGTTTTACTTGTATTAACTAATTTAATCCTCACAAAAATTCTATAAGTTCTATCATATTCCTATTTATACAGAGAGGAAAACTTAAGCACAGAGAAATTAAGTAATTTAATTTAAGTACTTTGAAAATAGTGGATATAAGTTTCAATCCAGACAGTCTGGCCTTGGCATTCATACTTTTTTTTTTAAATGTTTGTTTAGTTTTGAGAGAGATCACAAGTGGGAGAGGGGTAGAGGGGGACAGAGGATCTAAAGTGGGTTCTATGAGTTCAATGTGGGGCTCGAACTCATGAACGGTGAGATCATGACTTGAGCCAAAGTCAGATGCTCAACCAACTGAGCCACCCAGGCACCCAAGCATCCATACTCTTAACTACTATGCCACACTGCAAGTTGATTAAGAAAGTCAAATGTTTCTGGGGCACCTGGGTGGCTCAGTTGATTAAGCGTCTGACTTTGGCTCAGGTCATGATCTTGCAGTCTGTGAGTTCGAGCCCCACATCGAGCTCTGTGCGGACAGCTCAGAGGCTGGAGCTCAGAGGCTGGAGCTTGCTTCAGATTCTGTCTCCCTCTCTCTCTGCCACTCCCCTGCTCACACTCTATCTCAAAAAACAAAAATAAATTAAAAAAAGAAAAAAGAAAAAGAAAAAAAGAAAAAAAATTCAATTCCCTGACCTAACTCTTCCTTACCCAGAATTCTGTACACTGAAGGCAACTACTCTGAATTTTTTTGTTTCTTCTAATATTTACACCCCTTTTTTTCAATAACATGTTTCTACTTCTATTTCTTGATTTTTCTGTTTTACATATAACCTATTAACTTCCTACTAACATGAATAATCTTTCTGTAATACAAATCTGGTCAAATTATTCTCCTGGTTTAAAAACTCCAATGGTTTCCTATTTCCCTTTGATTAAGTCCAGATACTAATATTAGCCACAAGGCCATTCATAATCCAGTCTCTGTTTGGCTATCTAGTCTTATCTTTAGTCACTCCTCCATCAAACTCCCTGTTCCAGGAATACTAAAGGTTTTTAGTTCCACAAACGTGGTATGCTGTCTTTGGCCAATAGACATTTTTCTGGGGCATTCCTCTTCCTCAATATTTTATTCCTGAAAAATTCCTACTCATCCTCCGGTCTCAGCTTATACATGATTTTCCACCATGATGTGTCCCACAACATCGCTAAACTTCTTCAAGACAGTGTTGGACATCTTTCATGTGCATCCATGACATCCTACATTCAATCTATTACAACATTTACCACAATGTATTTTCACTACTTTTCTATTTTTCCTAGGAGACTGTAGCTTCCTTAAGGCAGGGAGTTTGCTTTATTTACTATTGTTTTTTCAGTGGTCAACAGGGTCTGACATACTATAGACACACAAAAACAACTTGCTAATTTAATGAAATGAATTGCCACATAAGAACAAGAACAACGTTTATGCGCTACCTAGCAGAGGACCTGAATTCTTTTTTCTATATTCAGAGTCACAGGAACTACTTAAAAAATGTTTTTTTTTATCTCAGACTTGTTCTCATGTATTATTTTTAAGATTACTTAGGTAAATAATGAATAGCCATGACACAAATGTGGTTATAATACAGATGAAAGGATAACACAAAGACATATAAACCAAAGTTTTTCAAAGAATCATAAATTCTCAGACAGATTCTCAGCAGTCACCTAAATCACCTATGTTTTCAATGTTTGACCACCAAGAGGCAGGGTACTAATTACCTATTTTGTCCTAGGCAATGTCAGGGTACTCTGTAATTGACACTTAATTCTATGAATTTCATATTGTTAATAAGTGCACAGATGGGATTTAAAGAGCCTAGAGTATATAACCTCATATCCCGCACTGTTATGTTATAACTTATTCTATTAAGTGGATACCTAATGTATCAGTGAAAGTGTCCAGCAGAAAGAAATTATCAAGGCTATCTACTCTACTCTTAGAGAGCCTTATTCACTAAAGATTCTCCTTTTTATGACGGTATGATATCTTCCTACAGTTTTCACCCACTATTCCTAATTTTACCTCCTTGGGGCCAAAGGGAACTCCTCTAATCCCTCTTCAATGTGACAGCCCTCCAAACATTTGAAGATGGTATTCAGGTTCCACAGTCTTCTTTCTCCAGGCTAAACATCTCCAGTTCCTTAAACAATTCCAAACATGACATCATTTTGAGTCCCCCTCAACACTCTAATCAATTTCTTCTGG